TATGTCAGCATGCTGTTTGGTTCTGGATGCCACAGGTGGAGATAGTTCTGGCTGCAGTCTTGATGTAGTCTTGTTGTTGTTGTTGGTTCAGCTCTGGTTCTCTGTCTGTACGATGGAGAAGGAGGAGTCTCCTGTTGGGTTAGGTCTTTTGTCTGCTTGGAGGGTCGGGATCAAAGCCTTTCTAACTCAGAGGGGGAGTCTAGGTCTCGGGACACCTTACCTATAAGAAGTCTTGCACACTGATGTTAAATAAATCCAACCCTTTCCACTCTGTCTCTTTCTAATCATACTATCTGTCTTAGTTGTTAAATGCCATCTAAACAACATAATTAATGTCTACTAATGATATTACAAAAACTCACTCCAAAAATAGTTTCATCCATTTCTATATATTTACCCAACACAACTCGGAAATACTTACATGTTTCCAGCATCACATATTCCACACACTACGAAAGAACATCTCCATACTTTAAATCCCACTGTTACTTAGAACAATAGTAAACCTGCAGAGCACACTAATCAGATCACAGTAATGAAATCTGACTCAAGTGTAGGCCCATGTCTACTTTCCATTATACTTATTACTTGTGCTGAATATTTATTTATATTGTCTAAATTCCTTGTCTATGATGTGCAAACAGTTCGAGTGTAAAATGTGTTTTTCTCAATGTATTTACACTACAGATTCTTGAGTTTACTCATCTCCTGGTGCTGTCGTTGTAAAAAATGTACAATTCCTTATTGTTTTGTACCAGTTTTCCAAAATCAGTTCTAACTGCCGTGCCGTTTCAGGAAAGGTGGCGGTACGGCTACACAATGTGTAAGAAGGTGCCAACATGTTCCTTTTTTTAACTTTGCTTTTATTTATCTGACTTAATTCATATGTGTTCACTTGTATTAATATACTGGGCTATTGTCGTTGTTACTATTAACGTGCTTCCCGTCTTCAATACCGGCCAGCAATGTAATGATTAAACTCTAAGCTTGAAGCTAAACCATATAAAAATGTCAAGGGTGTGATACCCCCTTTTAGCCACTAGATGGCAGCAGCCAGACCACAAATGAGCTTCACTCTTCTGAGTGCATTTTTGAGGTCCGCAGACAATTGAAAAATCACACAGATTTATTCCCCGTACAGTTTGTCCAGCTTTTATAATGTGATGTTTATTTCAACAGGCTAGTGGACCCGAATGATGCTTCGACACTCTTAAAGAATGTGACCATTCCATGGGGAACTCCCAGGTCGTGAAAAGCCCTTTATCACACGTTTAGCTTTTCAAATTAAGTTTACAGACAAAGGGAAAACGAGAGACGGTCCCGTCACAATTTTTGGTGAGGTTCGCGTTCTCTCCCTCGATTTAACATATAACAGACCTCTGGCTTTTAGCTTTCAGCCTTGGTCTGTTATTTAACCCCAGTTTTAAACGGCGACCCGATCTAAAATATCGAGTTTCCAGGTTTTGTCGTGCAGGAATCGAACCTCGCAACCAACAAACTGCACCGTCTCCACGCCACTCAGGAATAAACTACCTGTAGATCCGCGCCAAACTGCTTGGTTTGTTTTACAGACAAAGGGAAACGCTCTCCCTCGATTTAACATATAACAGACCTCTGGCTTTTAGCTTTCAGCCTTGGTCTGTTATTTAACCCCAGTTTTAAACGGCGACCCATTCTGATATATCGAGTTTCCAGGTTTTGTCGTGCCGGAATCAAACCTCGCACCGACAAACTGCACCGTCTCCACGCCACTCAGGAATAAACTACCTGCAGATCCGCGCCAAACTGCTCTATTTTACGTTACGCAGGACTTTCCGTCTACCTGGCGATCAACGTTTACGTTTTGTATATAACTTTCCTAACATAGTAAAATATGCATTGTATATTCCATTTAACCTTTAAAAACACTGTGAAACGCCTACAGACAATCCTAAAGTTTTAGTGTATCCAATTACAGACAGTCGATTTTCATAACAGGCGTCTGCGTACCTTTGTGTAGAGTTGTGCAGGGCCCTGATGATTGTCTGAGAAGTTTGAAAGCGTTTGTTCCCGACCCATTCCGGTCGTCTGGATTCTTCCTCAGCTTCGTTATATCTGGCACGTCAGGGGTCACCACTTTGTTAGAGATTAAAAGGGATATCTGGTCCGCTTTTCAAATCTCTGCGCGTCCCTATCAAGCTGGTTAATACAGGAAGAAATCCAGAGCTACCAAGTAAACAATATCTACTTTAATGGTAATATTACAATGCAATACAATCAATACAGTACAAACTTAATACAAATTACCTTTGGGATCCCGAATTTACCTGCACGTGTGCCAGCCAGAGGAAAGAGACTGAACACAGCGTGTGTCTCTGTTTTTATATTAAACAATGGGAGGAGTTATCTGATCCTCCCTTTGGACCTCCTTGATTAGATCACAAATACCTCAGATCTTAGTTTATCTGATCCGCCCTTTTGGACTTCCCCAATCACTGTAGCTCAGTTCCATTATTTCTAGATCTAAGTTGAATGCAAATCAATACATGCTCTCACCTTCCTTTGTCCTCAAAAACACATGTCAACAGGCCCCACCTCCAGCTCACAGTTTTACACAAATTATTTCCATTTTAAGCTTATCCATAGTTTGCTAACATGAATAAATACAAATCTTTCACTACAACAATTATTAGGCAAGATTTTAAGGATTTATTTTATTATTAAACAACTACAGTGCTCTCTCTCAATCCAAAATGTTAATAAACATCAAGTCTCAATATGTAAAGGTCCCATGTCATGGCCATTTCTACTGATCATAATTCCATTGTTGAGGTCTGCTAGAATAGATTTACATTGTTCAATGTTCCAAACTAACATTGGTTTCTCATACAGCATCTCTGTATAGTATGTGTATTCACTCTCTGTCCTAAACGGCTTGTTCGAGCTCCTGCCCCCCCCCCCCCTCCCTGTGAGCCCAGTGTGCTCTGATTGGTCGAGAAGCTGACAGGCTCATTGCTGCTTGCACACACTGTGGCCGTTTCTCAATCGCAAGTAAAACTGCTGCAGAGCAACTATTTAAAGTATACTACGTCATCGAGTGGCGCCGAAGGACTGTTTAAATGCATGTTAAATGCCCAGCATTCTGCGCCATTCGATGACGTAGTATACTTGAAATAGTTGCTCTGCAGCATGTGTACTCACGATTGAGAAACGGCCACAGACACACACTGCTGCTGCTGGCTGCTGCAGGAGCAGACAGGCTTCCGGGTCGGCGATACAGCGAGAACAAGCTAAACTCATCCTGAGCACACACAAACACTCACAGCCGAAGTAAAAACAATAAGTGTGGCTTAATATTGAGTAAGAAAAAGGTTTATAACGCTGTGAGCATGGGTCTGCGGAGAGCATTTCTCCGCCATTCCACGTAGCAGTCCGAAAAACGTTTACCCATTTAAACAGTCGTGGTAGATACCTTGTTTGTTTTAAACATCATAAATACTCAAACAAAAATGAATACTTACAGGTTGTGTACCCGAATCTCCCGCTGGTCCAAACAAAGCAGGAACAGCATTGTTCTTCAGTGCCCTACGCTGTACATATCCGGCATGAATCGCTGAAAGGTTTTGGAAGCTTTGTTATGTGAAAAGCTTGCAGAGGGTGCGCGCCATAGCTCTGGGCGTGGCTACTGGGTATCCCTATGTAGCGATACCCAGGAAGAAAAAGATAAATGTCCAACGAGGCGTTCTGGGGCAGCATAGACAGGTCTTTTCTGTGTTAGAGTTGTACTCGCTACAGGGTGTACTTTCAGGGTTTGTGACTCTGCAGACCGTTTACATGTAGAAAAACCTTCATAACACACAAGGGGATGGGTAATAACCGGAAAAGCATGACATGGGCCCTTTAAGAGAATAAAAGTGAGGTTTGGCTTTCTGAGGAGAATATCTAAGTGTGCAGAATTATTATGCAACTAAAGTGTTATTTTCATCTGTTAAAGTGAGAACTCAAAATGTACAAATACACATTTCTGTCATTTAATATTTTTTTAATCCGTGACCAATATAGCCACCGTTCTCTTCACAGTCTCAAGCCTTCCATTCATGGAGTCTGTCAGTTTCTGAATGTGTTGACAATCAACCACAGCCTCCCAGACTCTGTTCAGAGAGGAGTACTGTCTTCCTTCACCGGAAATCTCCCGTTAAAGAAGGGCCCACAAGTTTTCAATAGGAAGACGAGGAAGGTTTTAGGTCAGACGAGGAAGGGTTAAGGTCAGGTGAGGAAGGGTTTAGGTCGGATGAGGAAGGGGGCTATGTCATTATTCTTTCATCTTTAAAGGTGTCCTATCATGCAAAATGCACTTTTTGATGTCTTTCATACATAAATATGTGTCCCCGGTGTGCCAGAGAACTCACAAATTGTCAGAAAATAAAACCCTCTCTCTACTAGCGGCATCAAAAAGCTTTCATCAGTCAAACTGATCTCATTGGAGATTTTTTGTGGGATTGAACCAAAAGGAAGATGAGCTACAACCAAGTGTTTTGACCTAGAATAGGTTATGGCGAATAAAACCACCAGAAAATAGCGTCATTTAGGCCCATAATATGAAACCAACTGAATTCAAAAGTGAATTCAAAAATCATACATGTCACACCATGACAGTGACAATGGTAATAGTCACAGAACAAAACCAAAAGACAAATGAATAAAACAAATACAAAAATGTCAAGCTAAATGTTTAGAAATCAAACCTCTCAGTGTTGTAATACAATACAAAAAGATGGCATTGAGTAGGTATGAAAACATCAATGATGCAAGAAGAGGACAACACACAGAAAGATAACAATGGTAGTGGAAACAACTTCCATCTCAACCCATACAACTTGCACTAAAGAGCTACTGATAGACGTATAACCATGTCTTATTCTGTACATACGACAGCTTCATCAGCAAACACAAACAAGTTATTTACCAAAGTTTTAAGGTTTGACAAATTACAGTTATCCTTTTTTCTTCTTATTCAACAGGTTCTGCCGAAGTTATCACTGTCCATTGCATCTGAGGTGGATAACCTGCTGGGAAACAAGCCCTATAGTAAAAAGGACTTCAGATCCTAGGAGTTTCAGAGCTGAGCTGTCATGCTATCCTGCCAACCAATGAGAGACAGCAACCAGATTAGCAATATGTATGAAGGTGAAGAAACAAGCCAAAAGAAAAAGTGCGGCTTTGCACATCACCAAGTCAATGCACTGTCACTCGAAACATTTGCACGTATTGCCACTTAATAGTTGGTAAGTTGTATAATATGCAGTACTTGTTTTAGTAGTTTGTGTGTTTCCAACACCAGCAGAGCCACTGAAGCACTAAAGTAACTAGCTGATGGTTCAGGAAGTAAGGCAGCCTTCATCACTGTCTGCCTACTGCTGCCTCAGCATGTTGTCCCTACAACATTAAACACATTTTGCACAAGACCAGAAAACCTACTGAGCACAAAGCATTATGGTGTGATGGATGAGCCCTTTCAGTGTAATAACAACCGACAGACAGTGTTAATACTAGTATTAGGATATATTTGTATTCATTTATTTTTTAAACGTCTGTATTCAATTACTTTATTCACAGTTTAAGCATCTTTTTGTTTTTACATTAATGTCCTGTTTTTGTCAGTTTAAGTGACAGTTATTCTTCTTTACAGCAACCTTTTTTGTCAAACTTTACAATGGCTGAGCAAGTAACTTTTCTCAGGAAATTACAAGAATATCATTAGCCCTGAAATTACCTAACATTTTGTCGAGATAGATATTACCAGTCAACGAGTTCAAAGGTTGCCAAAGAGGCAAAAATAAATAAAGACTTAGAAACTGATTGTATATTACTCATCAGTCCCTTCTCTCCTCCTAAAAAAGCACTTTTTTCCATCTAAAATTCAACATTCTTTCTCGAACCAAAAAAACGTTCTCTAAATTCTCCACCCTTCCTCTCCTCTTTAGTCATCTCCCTGTTCTTTCTGCTGCGTTCCACAGAGTAAACTACTAGATCCTCTTTCATACTCTCCAAGAACTGAGAGTCTCAGGCTGTGCACTCTCCCCGCTCACATCCAACTCTGTCTGACCCTTTTTAACTAAGGGTCCAGAGATCCAATATTTGTTCTCAGTTCACCAATTCACTTGGCTCTTTCATTTGCTTTCATGGCTTCTGCTAACACAGCAACACATGTGTCATTTGCTCTGTATTCCAGATTCAAGGCTTTATTGTCATTTGTAAATGAGCTGTAGTGTAGATATGTCCAACAGTGCAACATATATAGGACATAGAACAAATAAAACGGATAAAATAGTGCAGGTAAATACAAATACAATAGAATAGAAGTAGTGCAAGAAGAGTCTATATACAAGTAAATGGAATATGATATATTAGATAAATAATCTGTAAAATGCAGTTTAATAGTCTTATGACCTGTGGAATGAAACGTAGGGTTACGTATGGTAACCCATGTTATATAAGCACAGCGGAGCCCTCTACTGGACTATATGGGTACTCCCCTCAATCCTATCTATGCACGCATTCTTTCACTGAGACTTATACCCGGAACCGGCCCCCTGGGCGGGCCTACCTGACTGCGCGCGCATCCACTGCATAAGAGGCGGCCCTGCCCACTCACTGCTATCCCTTTACTTTCTCTTTTAGCTGAGCAGCATAGGCAGCAGGGCTTCCATAAGTAGAGGGCTCCGCTGTGCTTATATAACATGGGTTACCATACGTAACTCTACGTTATATCTCTCACAGGAGCCCGACGTATACCCGCTCTGCTGTCCTGCGAGAGTACTGCTCCAACCCCCTGTTTCAGACTGGCTTCCTGTCTAGCAGCCGCTGAGCCTCCCTCACCTCTCCCTCGGCCAACGCCAAGGAGAGAAGAAAAAGAGGCTGCGTCGGGCCGGGCACACCCTGACGCGCTTACCCATGGAGGTGTGCCATAACGTAGATAATTTTCTCCCCCTGTCTCAATGCAGGGAAAAGAAGAAAAAAAACAGCCCTCTGGGCCCATGTGCGCATTACGTCCCCCGGGACCGGGGGCCCGGGAAACATAAGCACATTACGTCCGGGGAGGGGGTCAGATACCCCCTGACCCACAGCACCCCCTCTCTCTCCTCACCAGTCCTGTGTTGCTCCAGCAAGCACAGACGATGAAAAGGAGCCAGACCTGTCCAAGAGATAAAACTTGATGAAGGGACCTGGTGTTGACCAATATGCCGCTGTGCATATGTCCTCCACACTTACACCATTAAATAAGGCTGTTGATACAGCCATGGCTCGTGTAGAGTGTGCACGGACTCCCGTGGGGAAGGTCTTCCCCGCCTGTCCGTAGGCATGTGAAATGCATTCACAAAGCCAGCCTGCCAGGCGTTTCTTGGACAAAGCTTTTCCAGTTACCCCACCGCTGAAACACACAAACAGCTGTTCTGTGAGTCTAAGGGCAGCCGTGCGCTCTACATAACATGCGAGCGCACACTCTATTTTTCACTCCTCACATCATCGCCGGAATCCCAGCCACTTTGGCCTGCAACAGGCTGTGGTGGATCCCGCTATAGCTGCCTGGATAGACTGAATAACTCTGTCAGACAATCCACCCTGTCTCAGCCTGTCCCTCTCAGGAGCCAAGCCTGGAGAGGATGGCCCAGAGTGGGTAACGCCCCGATTGCACCTGCCTCCTGGGAGATCGCCCCCCCAAACTTGGGGGAGCGCCCATGGCTGGCCCACCTTCATCTGTGTCCTCTCTGAGTATCACGGTGCCCCTACGCGATCCGGTGCCACCAGAATGACTGACAGACGTTCCCGCCTCACTCTCCCTAGGAGAGGGAGAATGAGACTTAACGGTGGAAAGGCATAAAGCAGCTTCTTTGGCCATGGCTCATGTGCAAACGCGTCCACCCCCAAAGGAGGGTCGTCGCTCAGAGCCATGGAGAACCACTGTGTGCAGTGGTTGTTGCGCTGGCTAGCGAACAGATCCACCTCTGCTGTCCCCGAACCGGGCCCAGATCCGCTTCACCACCTCTGGGTGAAGCGCCCATTCGGGGCGCTCGACATGAGGTCGGCCCCTCTGTTCTCCAGACCCGAAATGTGGAGGGCTCTCAGAGATAACATTACCTCCGCAGCCCATAACCACAATTTCTCCGCCATGGTCAACAGAGCGGTGGAGCGGACTCCGCCCTGTCTGTTGATATATGCCACTGTGGTTGTCGCTCCTGATCATTACATGTTTCCCCTGAATTAAGGGTTTGAAATGTTGGAGGACTAATATCACTGCCCGCAGCTCTAGGAGGTTGATGTGCCACGTCTCTGTCAGAGACCAGCAACCTCCTACAGCTTCCCCTAGGCAGGTTCCTCCCCATCCCGTTCCGGATGCATCCGTGAACACTGAGATGTGGGAGATCACCTGTCCCAGCGGAGATTCTCTCCGGAGATGGTCCGGGGACCCCCAAAACCGGTGGCTGCCCCTCCGGTGAGGGGGGGGATGGTCACCAGCCGCCGTTTGTGTCTTTTGAGATCTAAACACAGGCTGGAGAATCACCTCTGCAGGCGGCGCATATGCAGTAACCCCAGCAGAACCACAACGTGCCGCTGCCATGAGACCCAGGGTCTGCATAACAGTTAAAGCTGTCACCGTTGCCCACTGTCGCAGTCTGCAAACTGCCTGTAGCAAGGATGCCTGTCTGCTCTCTGACAGGGTGGCGCGTAGTCTGCCTGCATCGAGCACCACTCCCAAATACAATACCTGTTGTTGAGGCATGGGGGCGCTCTTCTCCCAATTGACCGCAAATCCTAACTCAGTTAGATGTAGGATCAATTGAGCCGTATTACACATTTGCCCGTTCCCTGGAGCTGGCCATAACTATGAGGTCGTCCTAGGTAAAAGAATACTCTCATGCCCCGGCTGCGCAGCGGCTGGAGTGCCACCTCCACGCACTTGCTGAACGTGCGCGGGGACAGGGAGTAGCCGAACGGCAGCAAAAACTCCGTGAAGGGAGCATTTGCCCATGGGGGGTCGACACGGAAAGGGCCGACTCTCTACTGAGGTCTTTGAACACAGGCACATTCCCTCGGGAGCGCGCGCTCCACCATGATGTTTCCACCAAAACGGTGAAAAACATCATGTGGAGTCCTCACACTTGGTCTTAATTGTTTCCTAACCCCGTTACGCCTGCCATAATGCCCCTGTACCCGCATAGCGCGGTTTATCATTATTTAAAAAAAATAAAATAATAATAAAAATGCAATGTAATGTAATCACTCTCACCCGCGCATGCGCACTAGCTGCCTCATTTACTGGAGAAACAGCCTGGGCAGCGAGTGGGGAAACTGTACTGAAAACATTATGTGGCTGTGTGGGTGTGTGGAAAGCAGAGACACTCAAACTGGAGTACTTTTTATCACTTTTATTAGAAAAGGACGAGTTAACAACAAAAGGATCATAGAGGGAGGAGGCAGGATTTACCCTCGCGTCCTGGCCGGAGAATTCCCCTCTCCCTGCCGAGACGCTTCCTCCCGCCGCCAGTCGACTCCTGGAGAAGGGAGCTCCCCACCCGGTACCCCTCTGCTGCAGTGGCACCCGAGTGCGGACCGGAGGAGGAGCCTGACGGATTCTGTCGGCCTGTCCCTGCGGGGTTCGGCCCCGACCCAACACCTCGGGACGGACCGTGGAGGCAGAGAGCGCTCTCGGGACTCTCACCCGACGCCTTTCTCTCCGTCTTATCACCGCCGGACGCACTCCCCTTTGCGGGGGGCCCTGAGTGTGAGCCAGCGGCAACATGCGGCTGAGCTGAGCTTTCTCCACTTCCAGACGGTTGAAGCGCTGAGTGACCGAGGCTATCGATCCAAAAAGCCCTTCCGTGGTAACGGGGGCCCCAAAGAGATCATCCCGGTCTTTCTTAGCCAGGGCGGTTAAACCTAACCACACATGACGCGACGCCACAGTGGTCAGGGCCATCACCCGACCGGCTGCGGTAGCCATGCCGTGGACCAGATTATTCATCTGGCCCACACAGCGGTCCGAATAATCACTCCCGCCCTCAGACGGGGGGACGGGAGCGTCCTGCTGAGGAGAAACCAGCGACACTCCTAACACACCCAGATTATTGGCCGCCGCCGCTATCTGCACCCCGAGCTTGAATATTTTATCGAGATACTCAAGCATCTCTCGGTCACGCGGCAGCGGGGGCAGGGGCCTTCTCCCCTCTGCCCACCCAGCTGCCTGCGGAAGCAGATGTGCCGCCAGGCTATCCTCCAGCGGGGGCACACCGAAACACTCCGTGTCTGAGTGGCCCTCCACCTTGAGAATTCCTGCCCAAGTAGCCACCGTAGCCTTCGTTTTTAGTGGCTGCCGCCACGTGGCTTCCACACACACCGCCAGATGTCCGGCAGAGGGGGTTGAATGATGAACGAAGACGGCTGTGCTGGACGGCCCGTGCCGTAGAAGCCCTGGCGCAGGCGGCTCACCGGCCTCGGAGGTATTGGTGGGGGAAGCGGCAAGCCTGCACGCTCCGCCGCCATAGCCATCACCGCCGAGAAGTCCTGACGAGCCAACCTCTGCTGATGGCCTTCCTGGCGGACAGCGGAAATCCCGGATGACAGTGTGTCATCATCGTCGTCCGCCTCTCCGATGCCTGGACCCGTCCGGGCTGCTGGGACGGCGAAGACGAATGGCACTCCCTGCACGAGGTCCTCCATCTCCACCACGTCGAACTCTGGGTCTTCCACCGGCGAGACGTAACACCCCTCGAACACCTCCACTCTGTACAGGCGGCTGGACCGAGTCAACATCTGACATGCGCTGCAAGTTGCTGATGGAGGCAGGTTAGCTGCCGCGTGGTCAGACCCCAGACACTCGA